AAGAGGAAAAAAACTTTAATTTATTCAAACCGGAAGCATGAAATTAAATAAGATGTTTCCAGTTCTTTCCTACATCACCAAAAGCTCTATTTTTTTCCTCTCATAAATTTATAAAAGTAGAATTTGGAGTTTGACAAGATTATTTTTTAAATATATTATACAAGTTTGGTCAAAAAAAAAATTATTATTGTAATCGATAATCATATTTATGAAAATTACTATTAATTTTCTTAGATGGAGATGATTATCCTATCGATTTTCTTTTACAGTATTTCTCCATTTAGATTATATAAGCACATTAACAAAAAATAAAATAAAAAAACTATAATATAAAATAATAATGATAATAATTATATGTTTAAAAACAGTTGAAACATGACAATTTTATATTCTATCGTAAATTTTTGCCAACTATTATATTTAAATAGTCAACGTTTATAGTATATATGAGGTAAAGTTGATAAAAATATACCTTAAACAATTAATCTCTAAATTATCAACTTTTTTAGATTTTCTAAAATTGAAACTAAAAATTATATAAAGTAAGAATAATTTAATATAAAAAGAACGATGATTTAAAGAGAAGAAAAAAAAATATCAGTACAATAATTTATAGAAAAAACATTAACAATATGTAACGATAATGTATAAATTGAAAACAAGAATAAGTCTTGAAATTGTTGACAACAATTAAAAAAAAAAGCATGAATTGAAAATAATTTCTTTTAATTTAAGAAGAGTAATCAGCTACTATTTCATTTAAAATTATGGATAAAAAAATGTTTCAACAACTATTTCTCATACTTATGTGGAATTTACAATCTCTCTTTTTATTTTTATTTTTTTTAAAAAAATTGATCTGATTTTGTTTTTCTTATTTAAAATAAAATTGACATTTTTCTTTTCACATGAAATTGAATCGAAAAATTGGAAAAATTACGAATTACAATAAACAAGAAATAAAAGTGTCCTAAAGATGAATTCCAACGCCCGAAAACAAGGACAAAGGCGTGGACTCAAACATAGACGCGTTAGGGGATTTTTGAAAATAATGTTTTTATTTAAACTTATTTTTAAAATAATGTTGCATTAAGTAAAAAAGAAAAAGTTTCTTTTGAAACTTATTTCAAAAATAATGTTTTTGAAATTAATCTCCCACTTGGTCGTCTCTTGACGATCCTAAGGACATGGCGTTTTATTGGCGTCACGTCTGATTTTTTTAAAAAATCAAGACATGGTCAAGACAACATGTGTTGGAACGTATTTTACGATTGTTCCACGATTTGAATTTTTAAGAAAAAAAATAAATATTGTTATATATTATATATTAAAAAGTAGATTTTTATTTAGAATAACGTAGTGTGATGATGGTGCAATTTTCTTCCTTCTTTCGTTGGTTTGAATCTTAGAAAATGTTTGTATTTTCATTCTTTTGAGTGTGAATCAACTTTTTAGTTATTATTATTTTTTTTAAAACAATACATTTTTATTATTATATATTATTATTATTTATATTTTAATATATTTCAAAAAAAATATTTATTTTTAATGAACTGTGTATGCATTTCTTTTTTCTTTTTACTACTAATTCTTTCTTTTACTTTTTAATTTATATTTTAATATATTTAAAAAAAATTAACTTCCTTTGAGTGTTAATCAACTTTTTGTTATTATTATTATTTTTTAAAACGATACATTATTATTGTTATTATTTATATTTTAATATATTTCAAAAAAAAATATTTATTTTCAATGAACTGTTCTTGTAGGCATTTCTTTTTTCCTTTTACTATTAATTAATTATTTTACTTTTTACTGTTAATCAACCTTTTTTTTTCTATTATAATATTTTATATATTATTATTATTTATATTTTAATATATTAAAAAAATTATTTTTAATCAACTGTGTGTGCATTTTTTTTTCTTTTTACTATTAATCAACTCATTATTATTATTTTTTGAGTAATTATTGTTATTATTTATTATTCATTATATTTTATATGTTATTTATATTATTTTTAATAAACTGTGTATAAAATATATATATATATATATAATTATTATAGTTTTAAGTGGATTTTTTTTATTAAAAATCCAAGTCGTTCCTTGAAGGAACGACCGTAAAGTACGTTCCAACACATAGTTGTCTCTTAAGATGACCATCTCTTGATTTTTAAAAAGAATCAGACGTGGCGTCAATAAAGCGCTACGTCCTTATGGTCACAAGAGACGACCAACTACTAAAATGATATGGTCGTCTCGATCAAGTGGAGGACTCATTTCAAAAGTTTTATTTTTGAAATAAGTTTCAAAAGAAGCATTTTTTCTTGAATTTTATTTAATGCAGCATTATTTTTAAAAATAAATTTAAATAAAAACATTATTTAAAGAAAATCCAATGTTAAGGGCTAGGCATATGCTTGCCGCCACACCACAAATGATTTACCCTAGTAACAATCCTGGGACCATTAATACCTAATACATTATAACGACCTCTCTTATATATCTGATTCCAACACGACTAAATTTTACTAAAAGAACGTATCAAGATCTAAATGAATAATAAGATGAGAATAAGGATTTAAACCTTAGGTTACTAATTAATATGATCTTATTTGGTGAGCTGCTTGTTTTGTTTATCTATAGAAAAACTCACTATATACTTTAGTAAAGTTGGTCCTAATCTATTATCAACCTTATCTTTAAATTCTCTTATAAGTTCTATCTATGCTTTTTAGCACTCTACTAAATTAAAATATTAAAGATCTAACATTATACA